AAAATAAACAAGAAAAAATAAAATAAAATACTCAAGATAAAAAATGCAGAGTGAATACAAATAAAAAAGCATATGATAAAGCACATAAATAATTCAAATTAAATACTTGGTAAAGATCACAATCATTTTTATTTTATTTTATATTATTTTATTTTATTCATAGAATCTTGTCAATGTACTGCCTGGTTGGGGTTTAGCCAACATTAACATTAATTCAATTCATCTGCAATTTTGTATCTTCCTTAGAATAACTTGTGAAGTCAAGAAGTAAATTTTCCCACTATATGCAGGTCTTGAATGTTCTGTTTAACACATTCCAGTGTCAGTGTCGTAAAACAACTTAAGATTTTGTGTTAACATGTTAATGCATTCTTTAATAATAAAAAAAAAATGACAACAAAACACATAGGTAACAGAGCAGTTTTCTTGATGCCACAGGTTCTCCGGATGCAGAATTGCTCTAAACATCCTTCATAGCTTATGTTAAGATCTTTTTAAAGAAAATACAACAAGAGTAATTTGCTCTGAAGTGTGAGAATCATCATACAATATGCCAGTACACATGTTTTATATCCACTGACAATTGTTTTGACAACAAATTAAAAAAAAATGTTCACAGTGAGAGCTCAGTAGTGCATGTAGGTGGCCCGACCTAACATCAACCTAAATATCTCAGAGAATTTTTTTCTCAACCCTGTCACCTTAGCTTGCTCACTAGGGGGTTACGGCACTATTTTTCTTTTCATTTCCTTTTGTTTTCTTTTCTAATGTCTGTAAAGCTTCTTTAGAACAGTATGTATAATAAAAGCTCTATACAAATAAACTATATATTGAAATATTAATTAATTGAAATTTAAAATGTACATTAAAGTTCAGGATGTTTCTCCATGCAGATAAAGAAACGTTTCACATGTTGCACTATATCTTGATTTGTAACTTTTTTTTAGCTGCTTTTAATTAATTTATTTGAACATATTTTATTTTAAATCATTTAAAAGGAATAATTACACAAAAATAAAAATAATCAACTTATCCAAATGTGTTACGAATCCTGAATGGTCTTCTTTTGTTGTACACTATACAAAACACACAGACTTTCAATTCAAAGCTATTGTTCAAAGCTATTGTATGACTTCAGAAGACATAAAATATAATACATAAATCAAACACTCTTTTTATAATGCTTTCATGGTACTTTTGTGCCCTTTTTGCAGTCTGACAGCCTCTGGTCCCTATCCACTTTCACTGTATTGAAATAGCAGCATGAGCATTTCTCAAATAATCCTGTATTTTGTTCCACAAAAATAATGTGGAAATGTGGGTGAACTTTTCCTTGCAAACATCTGGTGAGCTATGCCATGACTTGTTGAGAGGTATGCATAGTGAGTCTATTTGCTGTTTTACAACTTGACTGATCAAGAACTTTCTGTTAATCAAGTATTGTTTGTGAAATGAAAAAAAAAAAAGAATCTCACTACATGCATTTAGTGTTGCGACCACAGGAGGATTTTAACTTGTTCCCACAATATACAGTTAACTGATTTTGCCATTTGAGTGTGAACCTCAAACAGTCAGTCAGGGCTTTGTTTGGAGAGTTTGCATAGTTCTAGTTAATCAGCAGATCCAATAGTTTTTATGTTAAGATATTTTATCTTATTACAGATATATTCACCAAGAACATGTTAATTGTTGTTTTGTTTTTTATTTACTAGCACTGAAAATCATCATCAATATATGTTCCTTCAGAACCTTGGACAGCTCCAATCCTAATATTAAATCAAGTAATCGCGATGACATGATAAGCAATATTTAACAGTTTTCAGTAAATATGTTTAGTGAGGACAATCTCATCCCATTTCTTGTTTATAAACCACAAATGAAAAGCAGAAAATTGTTTACTGTTCAGCAGTTATTTTGCTCATCATTATGGAAAGTAAAAATTTGATACTATATACAAATTAATCACAACATAGCATTGATGCTTATAAATGTGGATTAGAGCAACCTCTTTCCAGAAGTGCTATATTAGATTATTTTAAATGGTGTTTCAGCTTATTTTATTGGCATAAAAGAGGGTTTGAACAAAACATATTCTGTCCTCAATTGCCAGAATACCTTAAAACCTTGTTGTTAGTTGCCATTTGATTTGTCTGGAAATTGTCACACATAGAAAGCTTCACATTTAGCCTATAAATGGATGCACATTGTAGCATATAGGGTGTCATATGAACAAACCCAATTTCGACTCTAAAAATATTGAATATCAGTTTTATGTTTTTATGTCATTACTAATACTGGTCAAAGGAAATTGTATTGAGACATGTTATGAATGTAAGACAATGTGCATATGCAATAAAATGAGCTCTCGATACATCACCAGTGAATTTGCTTTTTTTCAGCCTTTTTATCCCTAGTTATCATTTTAAAGAGATCTTCAGCTGATAACATATTTTAGAGCTGTTACTGGGAGGTAACCTAAGGTACAAAAAGATAAAAAGGTAAAAATACCTTACTAAAAAAGATAAATACAAATATTCCCTAAATAGCACATATCAGTACATTAAGGGAACACAGGCTATTAGTACTTTAAAAATTACATATTAGTAGTTTAAAAATATATTAGTGCCTAAATTTTGTATATCTAGGCTATTGTGTTGTACCAAAAAAGTTTTGTCTCTGCTCTGCTCTTTAAATATAGGTTTGTTTGATACGTTTTTTTATCCAAATCATCTTACAGTGCTTTCATGGTATAGCCTATATTTTATCAGTTTGTGCTTCTCCTGTATGAACATGATCTTGGCATTGCAGCACCATGCTCTACAATGTGAGCTATAAGTATAGCACTGGGCGAAGTTGAAGTCTACTTTAATTGGTGACTGAATTTGTAGAAACTGCAATCAAGCAGAAATGTTTGAAGCCGGGTCGCTTTACAGTTAACAGTAGGTGTCGCACAAACACTATTTTTGATTTCACGCTAGCACGCCGCTAGTATGTTGCCTGTCACCGTCATTAACCAAATTATTTTATTTACAGTTGAGCTATGACGTTGCAATTTGCCTCATTTTTCTACCAAATGATACACACTATGATTTATAGCAATCAGCGTTCCACCAGCCTTTTTCTGCATAATATAGGTTACGCGTCATAGACACAGAATACAGATTGAAACCAGCTCACCAGGAAACACTACGATACCAAATATCTACAACTGTAACACGAAAAACGCGTGGTTCCACTGGGGCTCGAACCCAGGACCTTCTGCGTGTAAAGCAGACGTGATAACCACTACACTATGGAACCACTCGTTTTAACTCAGCTGACACTTTGTCACTTGCTATCGTTGGTTAGGCTACTTGCTTGGGTCAGCGATATGCGTCCACAATGTTGGAACCAAAATGATCCTGTCCCAAGTAGAAGACAACTTTGTTGTATAATTGCATTTAATTGTAAATGTTTCTTCTCTTACTTAATAATAATTTTAACTATGACGTACAAAACGCTCGATCCAAAGGCCATTATGTGAAATTAAATAAAACACTAGATACTTTGTTAGGCCTGTGGTTGCTTATCTATCTATCTATCTATCTATCTATCTATCTATCTATCAGGATTTAGTGAAAATATCAGTTGACATCAAATGATTCAGATATGAAGCATTTTTTTCAATGACATTGTGCGGTTAATATGCAAACAGCTCAATATAGTCTCTACTTTACATTGCTTTGGGCAAAATGGGTGCATAAAGCTTGATGCACATTTTAATTAAAATCACATGACTGTTCCTCATTTTACAATAAGCATTCTTGTGAAAGCTTAGACTGCTGTTATTTTGGCTCATCTGTGTCAAACATGATTTTATGTTTGAAGAGTTCGACAAGGGATGTAACTGCACTTTTGTCCAGGTTATTGTACAAAACAAAATGTTGTTTATTGAAGCATTGGGGGCACTGTATAAAAGATTAAAAAGTTGTTAGACCAGAGTGAAGAAACAGTGAAGACCTGCAAAAGACAGTCACTCAATCATGGCAATTTCTTGAATTTACACCCCAAGTGTTTGAATCCTTTAACGCCTCTCAGTTTCTGAAAGATAAGCAGCTATCCTGCCACCACAGGGCCGTGTAATGTGCAAAGTTTTCTCCTTGGTTTCACTCCCCTTAAGACTCTGCATGCTCTATGATTTTTTAGCACAGCCAAAAAACTAAGTGCGGCTACACACACACAAACATTTACAATTAGTAACTAACTAACTGCTTTCCCCCCTGGAACTTAGTCTCTGCTATTGTTAGTTCTAAATAAATAACTACACTATTTAATTGCCACTGCGATTTATATCAATGCAAGAACCAGCAGGTACAGTTCCACTAAAAACAAGTCTCTTTGTAAGGCCCCTCTTGTTACAGATGTGAGATGATGAAATGTCCAAATAATGAGAAATTACACTGTAAATAAGAGAAATAAAGCTGTAATTACAAGATGAATGCATAATGTATATAAAACATTGCAACAAGGTTCCACGACAACATTAAAGCTGCAATAAAGTGTTCTGTTCTGGGCCATGAACAGATTTCTTTATTTATTTCACCTGGTCTATCTGTAGCTGTTTTATCTAGCTCAGTTCAAGGCCCGGCCCTGGCAGTCTAGGGCCCTATAGGCCCAGTCCATAATCTACCGTATCCACTGTTGAGTAAACCACAGTGCAGTTACTTACATGTGTATTTCACGTTCAAATCTTATGAGGAAAAAAAACGAACAAAGGGTCTACATATCCAAGCCTTTTATCAGAGAAATATATTTACAAACGGTTGTACATGGAAATCGTAGAGATTTTTTCAATCCAAAAATCATGTCTAACCTTATAGCTAATGCTTTTTACCTGTCTGTACGAGCACTGACCAGATATGACTTCGGAGGAAGCCAGAGGAGCGTAGCTTGTAACCAGTGCACGCTGCTACGGAGCCTGGTCACCTGTGGGAACACAGCCGGCTTTAGGACCCAGCGTGCGCGATTTTCCTCTCCAGCTGCTGCGGCGATGAGGGAAGATCGCGGGGAGAAACCCAAAATTCACAGTGTTAAATCCTCCACTGAATCATACTATCGGACGGTAACGAAAACAACAGGCACAGGCACTTCCTCTTACCTTTGGATGAATACGTCAAGTTCAGAGGCATAGGAATACAGTTTGGGGCCGTTAAGGTAAGGCGGCGCGATTCCATGCGATTAATAACAAAGGCGCCTGGCGAGCGAGGGGGCATTAAAGGGGGCATTGCACAACGCAATGGAGGGCGACAGTCAACTCTCTAAACTTTGCACTTGTACATGAGTGCATCAAAGTCCTAACATCCTGTCATAATGAGATCTAACTATCCGAAACGGGTGGACGTATTAATACAGTGCAAAGACAACATGCGGCAACATTTGAAAATATATGGATAATATTTTGTCCTAAACTGACCGCACACGATCACAAGAACCAGTGTCATTATGTGCGTTAAGGCCTACGAAAGTGATGCATCGCGCAAAAGCGCGTTAATTCCTGGTGCAATAAGTTTGGATATCTTTTGCATCCCCTCTCAACCTGCCCGCTTCATGTGCTCTCTCCCACCCTTGCGACATTACCTCAGTCATGCAGTGGAGCATGTACCGGTCCGACACCCCAGTTTGCACTGTTGCACGGCCTTTCTGTTGTCATTTCCCGTGCCACTTCTTTTTAATTGTGTTTTGAAACTAAGTTGTAAATGTTGCCCAAGCGGTGACGCTCATTTGCAGTCACCTCAGGCCTGTTTAAAGCAGCTAATGGTGGCTGGAAATTGAGACTAATCAAGTAAAACTTTTCAGTGTCTCTCAATAGGCCTTTAACGCGTTAATGTGTCAGCTTTCAAGTTTAGATAGATAGAGAGATAGATAGATAGATAGATAGATAGATATGGGTGCATTCACGTGTAGAGGAGCATGTGTGGCACGTTCGTCTTGTTTATAATATTTTAGCTTTTAATAATGCAATTAGTCCTCGTTGCAGTGACTGCGCCTGTCTGATAATGTCTTACTCATATGTTGCAGTCACAATTAATACCCTGTATTTTTACGGCAACATCAGTGTTGGAGCCTCAAGAGGACGTGATGCTCTCAGCGCAGTCTATGGGGTCAGTTTGCATCGGAGCAGATATGACAAAAATAGGTCATCTATCAAAATGTTAAAATTCACATCCGTTTACGTAGGCTAGATGTGTTTCAGGAGGAGCAATACGGACAATTTGTGTAATGTTACATTATGGTCCGATTATGATGATTCTCTGCGTTTTTCTGTGGAATAAAAGCCTATGTATTCTTATGCTAATCATCAAACGTATGTGTGTCCTCTAATTGAACAGAACTTCACCGGATTGCTATATTACATACGCAGTCATTCAATCATAATGTCATGGTCTGGCGAATCTCCGGTGCCAAATGCATTCAAATATCAGCTTGAGGTAACTTCGCGAGTCAATGTGTAATCTTGTCCTGCTCAGTAAGGCTTCATCTGAAGAAATGACTGAGACAGTGTCAGTGACAATGATTTGTTCTTGAGATATTCATTACAATACATTGGTTTCTGAACATTATGTCTGTATGGTCATTGTGATTTACAGACAAGATCAGGCTTAAACAGAAAAAAGTTGGACCACAAGTGATGAATATTCTGTCAGTTTCACCGACTGTTGCTCTGAAAGATGCTCAACCTGTTGGGAAGATGTTATCGTTTTGTTTGTTGGAATATAAGGTCAAACTGTGGAATATAGGCCTATGGGTTGCAGGTTCATGGTGTTGGTGCAATTTTTTAAATATTTTGTGAATATTATTGGGAAAAAGCAATTGTGCGAATGCCACAATGTTGAATAAAGCAGGAAAAAAGATGTAATAAAGAGTGTTTGGCTGACAGGTTGAATCACACTGTGTACAATGCACAGTGTCTGAGGCTGAAAAGTAAGGGTTGCTTGTTAAATCCAAGATCAAAGAAGCCAGCAAATGGCTACTGGACAGCTGATGGACCTGATTTAGCTATCATCATGCTCATTGTCTTGTCTTGATACAAGGAAGATAACCCCAGATTGTTTGTGCATCACTGCTGAAAAAGTGACTGATTATTTTGAGATAAGCATGACAGGCAGAAAAAAATATCTTAAATTGACCTAATTTTGAAATAAGACAAAAACTGACTTTATAGATCCACATGGGAATGATGTTTGTATTATTTAGTTATCAGAGCCTGCGGTTTTACTTAAAATGAAAACCGATATGATACATTTTCTTGTTTTCACTATTCATAAAGCATGAAACTTTAAAGAATAGCAATAATTAGAAATAAATATTGCATTCATCCTATTTGAATGTCAAAAATAGATTGAAAGCCAGGCCATTTTAATGAGCTGAACCAAATCTAATGAACTTATTTCAAATTATGTTATGTCAAGGTTCTTGTATTGTCACCAGGTCTTTTATGCATTAAATAATTAAACAAAACTTTTCACTGTTTGTTTTTATAATAAGCGACATGATTTAGCCTTCAAACGAGGAAAATTTACGTTACTCAATGGATTCGCAGATGTTTCAGGAAAAATAACAATAACATTTGCTCAACTTCATCTGAAGAGTAACAGTCCAGTACTATTGAAGCTCCAGATATTTTGCAACAGCTGATGCGAAGTTGCCACCTGGAAAAAAATAATAATAATGTTGAAGCCTTTTGAGGCTTTTTGAGAAGTTAAAAAAAGTAAATCCACCTGAGGATCCCAAAATCTTTCCCGTTCACCTTAGACAGATTTGGCTACATGATATTGTTTACATTTAACTTATGCTTTAAATATCTTCTTGTAGATGCAGCACGTTTTAACAAAGAAGTCAAGGCTTCTCATATTGAGAATCCGTTTAATTTAGGTTGAAAATATAAACATCTCGACCCATCAGTGTGCACCTTTAGTGTGGACCTTCATGTGCATATACTATTTATGATCGATGTAGTGGACATCAGTCTCGTGGCTCTATTGAAATAGTTCGAGACCGAGCAGGGTTTTTATTAATTCCTCTGCAATGTTTGTCTCAACTCTGTTTGTGCCGGCCCACGTGTGCGAATTTGAAAGCGAGATCATACAAACATGCACGTGCTACTCGGCGACCCTCGCGTGTTGGGTCCGAGAGCAACGGTTTAATTGAGAGAGAGGGTGTGTATTTTCACTTTGTTACTCGGGTAGGGTTTGCAGTTTAGCGCACCGTTGCGATCTCCTTTCCCCTTGAGCGGCTGGATTCTCGCGGTGCATGCTGGGACCTGCAGTCTTCGCTCCTCCCTTCTCAGGGCGAACGCGGTCAGGGCGTGGATGTCGGAGCACTACAACTCCCACACGAGCTCGGCTCCATCTGCCCCTCTCTCTCTCCCACCAGACCAGAGACGGAGAGATACGGTACGAACCCCCTCCGGACTTTCAGAACCGAAAATCGTCGAGATTAGTAAACTGCGAGCTACAAGAACGGAAGACCGGATTAAAGCCGTTATCTTGATGCCGAACATCTCCCAAATGTCGCTCAAACGGGTCGGTGCACGTTTGTACAATCTGACATCGTTATTTGGCTCGCTAATTGCCTTTTGGAATTATTCGGGCTTGTATAGACGGAGTCGGTTCTGGGGCTGTGGCATGTCATAACAGTTTGATTGTTGGAGCTGCTCTGCTATGGAAACATTTCGTGTCGTACGGTAGCAGAGTAATGCAGACCGAGTTGAGGGGAGACTTCGCTGCGCAGGGATCTGAAAATCGCTCCTTCAGTTTCGTACACCTTGCTCCGTACGAAATAACGCTGTCCCCGCGTGTCACGCAGCACAAGTGACGATAATAATAAGGAGCGTACGGGAAACTCGGCGACCCTATTAGTTTCCAAACACTCCTCGAGGGCAGTGTGGGGAGAGACAGCCAAAGTACGTTGTTTCCTCGCGAAGCAGATCTCATCCAACCTATATGTGCGCGTGACATTTCTCTGCCCGTGTATTTTGTCTCGAGTTCTAATTCAGACGTCACAGCTCGGCTCGCGCTTGGCGAAAAACCAACGGTCACTTCATAGTTTGACAGGATTCGGCCAGTACGAACGCGTCGGTTAGTTTGACTACATTGTGGCCACACGGACCGTGTAGGCTTTCGGTTCTTTCTCCGAAAGAAAACGTCTGTTTCGGCTAATCCCCGATCGCGGGACCTACATTTGGTTGTTTTTTTGTGTGAACATCGGCGATATTTATCACTGACTCCCATTTCATTTCGAGGCGTTTCGTGTCACCTGAGAGTCTCTTGTATTGTGTGATATGGTTTTTAGTAGCTCCAGCTAGAACGAGCGAGTGGGTTGGTCAGAGAAACAAACATTTTGCTCTGTTTTAGGACGATGCTCTAACCTAATATTAAGCTTGCTGTGAATACGTGACATTGGCTGGTCATCGACTGCTTTTCTGCATCACCCTTTGTGCAGAGATGAGCTCCGGGCTGCGGAGCTTCGACAAACTGACCGGGAGACCGCGGGTGTGCTGAGCTCCAGTCTAGAGAAGAGAGACGATGCTTATTTCCTCGTCTCCGTTTATCATTGCGCTGGTAACCCCATTCAAACGAAAGAGGGCTGAAGAAAAACACGCAGTCCCACTCCTACTGATCCTGCGTTTTCAATAATTGAGATGCCTCAAGATGAAAAAATGTCTGCACGAAAATGATCGGTTCTATCTTTAGCAGCAGATATAATCACGCATATAACACGTAAACTTTCCAATCATCAGACTTTCGCTAAAGGCCTGTACGGCTCGGTTATGCTAGACATCTCATTTGAAGTCCGAAAGATGAGCTGTTCGTATTTTAAGACAGCTGTCACCTGTATCGACAACGTGGAGCTGCTGCGCTCACCTGCATTCTGATGCGAAACAGGAGTTTACGGTGTTTGTGATGTTTGCATTTGAGACTTAGGTATTTAGATTTGGTTAAGTGTGATGGTTATGTATGCAGTTTGATTTTCTGAAGTAATATCTGGTCTTATTCATGTCATTCTTTTTAAATCAAGAACATAACCTCGAGAGACATCGGGGTGACTTCGTCTCGAATGCAACAATGTGCAACTTTAATTCGGGTTCAGATCATTCGGTTTGATTTTGTATTCAGGGTTTCCACCAACAGGAAAATCCAGAAAATACCAAGGATTTTTGTATTGCTATTTCCAGATATATGGCAAAATCATGGACATTTCTATAGTGAGTTTAAGTTTATGCTCTGCTCTAAAATATTACATTGCCTAGGCTTTATAGTAGTAAAACCAGAATTATGATCATTTAAATCTATTAATTTGAAAAGCTGTTATCTGACATAGAAATGGGAGTCTACCACCACAATCTTAAAAATCGTAATTAGTAAAAAACTAATAATGGATGACTGGAAACGTCATGAAAATTAATTTGTGAAAAAGTGTGTAAACCCTGTATATGATTTGATCTGTTGGTCTCTGATAGGAGTTTTGCAAGGCCCGACACACAGCGCTATTGGAATTAGATTAAATCACAGCTTGACCACCTCATTATAAGCAAACATTTTAGTAATGCACACTCTGTGACTGTGGACATGAGATACTTTGCCTTTATCTAATGTCTGTAAAGAGTAAAGCGCCTGTGTTAGACACAGCATCCCATTAATGCTTGCTCTGTTTTTTTCTGCACTGTTGATGCTGTCTTGATCTACAGCAGTTTGTCCAACTGAGGTAATGAGGCAGTAAAACCAGCATCAACTTTTGCATGGCCTTCTATCCTTTATCCTCAACCTTTGGCATTTGTGGCCTCTCATGCACTCAACCATTTCCATCCATTGCGCTGTGTGAGGTTTTGGGATCTGATCGTGGGTGCTCTGCTTCTTTAAAAAGGGGGGGTATTAGAGTATGCAGACTTTGACCACCCTGTTATCATATGCAGTGTGGGTTAAGAGGATGTTGTTGCAGTGAAAACTGTCCCTTCAGCTGTGGGAGCTGAGGTTTTTGCTCGTCTCAGTTTGAACTGAGTTTTCAGGCACTCCCTTGCATACTCAGAATTGACTAACTCAATCTCAGAGAGAGTCACGGGTCACACTCAACATTTTCACAATTTAGTCTCCCCTACAGCAGAAGATGGCAACATGCATTTGCAAACGTATAATTAAAAATGGAAATCGCTGGAATCAGATCATTGTATTCTTTTAAAATCTGTTATTTAAATCTGAACACTCTTAAGTATAATATCTATTCCTACTCAAGCTGTTGTCTGTAGGAAATTGTGACATCTTTACTAAGGAAACCTCTGTTACTCACAGGAAGTTTCCAGCCTGTCTCAAATCACTGACTGTAGCAAGAGAAGTGATGTTGTGGCCTCACGGTTAGAGTGTCCGTTTTGTTAGATTACAGGAAAAGAGACATAAAACATGAAAACGTTCTCATCGATCATAATTAAAGCTCATCCATGTCCATCTTTTGTTAAAATTCTAGAAGTGTTCATTTCTGTCATTTTGAGTCGAATCGGTTGGATTCTTTTTCTGACAAATGGGAAGGATTTTTGAAAACCCTAACTTGGTGACTAGAAATATTTCATATCACTCAAAATAATTTGGAAGTTCTTGAAGTAATGTGCATGGTACATATAGTTCTGCACTACTAATAGGGATTATCAGTTGTAAGAATGTCAGGTGAATGTATTACCAACTGAACCATTTTTAATTAATGTGCTAACAAGATTACAGTTGCCGCTTAGTTCAAATACATCTTTGCAATGTGTAATGTAGATGGCAATCTATATTTTACATTTAATTTAGTTAATGAGGTTTGAGTTGACCTTGGCTGAACAACACAACATTTATCTTCTGCAATCAATTATAAGTATATTAAAGAAAAAATAATCAATTGAAAATAAGTATAAAATCAACATCATGGCTTAGGTATGTTGTTGTTTAATGAAAGATTTAAGATTTAGATTTAAAGATTTAAACTTTTAAACATTTAAAACTGTAATTTTAATGTTCCAAGTTTTGACTTTCTGTTTGAAATAATTCTGTATGCTTAATTAGTGCATTTTTTAAGCTGAAAATTATCTATTTCTACTACAGAACTGTACACTACCCAGAGGAGAATCCCATAAAAATCACTTGTCCACACACACTGAGTAATGTGTTGAGAAAACGCCTATGCAGGTAACATATATTTCATTGTTATAGTCCCCCCTCTGACTCTTTCATGATCATTTTGGCGTTCACCCTAAGTCAAACTTAACTCACTGTTTTTCTGATCAGGTGGATCCCTCACCAATGAATGTAGGGGATGGAGGGACGGTGAGCAGAGAGAGCGGTGCCCCTACCCAGGTGTCTGAGAGCATGGTGGGGAATCCACAGCAGACACTGCCTCTTGAACTTAGAGGTGACATACCTCAAAGTCAGCAGAACAAGCTGAGGGCGACCACAGACTGCAAAACGCCCGACGTCTGCTCAGAAGCCAGCAATTCAAATCATTGTCCCCCAGTTCCCCCCTCCCAACCTCTCAGCAATGTGTTCAGCACTGATCCTGTGAGCACACCATTGCCCGATCGGACCGAGGTTCCCAAAAGCAAGATTGACAGTGCTGGCATCTACTCCACTCACCAGTGGCCTTGTGGAAAAAAGGTCACAGCAGAGGACCCTGTGAACTCTGTTCACTCTAGTATAAACCTAAACAAGAAGACTAACGCACCAGCACCAACCCAGCCTGTGATAAGCGTTCCTCTGGGGTTCCAGTGCTCCACACTGTTTAAACCCGGGCAGCCTGTTGCTTTCCTTCCCCCCTCCAATTTTTCTTCTCCTCTCTGTAAGATCACATTGCCACCAGGGTTAGGTCAGATTGCAGCACTGAGAGAAGCCACTGCTAGCCAGTTTCAAAAGGACTGCACAGCACAAAGCTCTTGTTCAAGTGTGACACCTATGATCAAAACATACACGTATAATTTTTCTGTGGGGAGAGGACCTGGTGCTGATAAGCCTCAGTCTTCAGGATCCAAAGTCAGGTGTGACTCTCTGTCCAAGGGCTTTCAAGGTGGGGCTGAGCATAAAGCCACAATGTCTTCTGTAGCAACCCCAGCTCTAGCCGTTCCAGTACAGCAAGCCACGCAGGGCTCGGCTCCACCATCCCGGTACACCATCTCTCCCAATGCTGCCATCTGCTGCAGCCCGGCTCTGGCGAATATCACCACTCAAAATCAGCTGCTTAGCCTTGTAGAAAGAGGTTCAACGTACCGAGGTCCAGAAAAAACCTCGTTAACATTTCTGAAACCAAAAACTCTGTCCACTCCAGAGGATCACAATGTTACCTGCCCCGTTGAGTCCAGGGACGTGCCCCTTGATCTGTCTGCAAAGTCCAAGCGACAAAAAAGCATTAAAGAGGCTCAGAATAGCCCATTAGTGGCCACGGAACGTCATTCTGCTGAGTCTCAGAAAAATGTTGCTGGTTCAAAAAAGGTTCACTCTGCCTCTTTTGGATCATCCAGTACATATGACACCCAAAGAAATGGTGCAACTCAGAAATCATCTTCAAAACTAACTAATCACCATGCTTTGGAACCCAACGCATCGTGGGCCAAAGGCTCATCTCCTAGTTCCTTGAATAATCTCCCTGGTACATATGTAGGTGTGGCAAGCCCCATTCTAGCATCTACTTTACGCAGCAAAGATGGAAAAAGTGCTGCTTTTGTTGAGGATCTTCAGACATTTGCCAAACAGGAAACCATCTCCATCATTGACCAAGGAGAGCAGCCGGTCTGTAGAGAGAGGCAAGCGCCATTTGCTGTTAAATGTGCCCAACATAATAAAGGTGGAAAGCTCTTGACAGGTACTCAACAAGGTTTTTTATCCACCCAATTATGTGCTACATCAAATTCACAGCCCCACCGGAAATCTGTTGGTGGAAAGGGAGGCTCCCTGTTTACACCTCCAGTTAAATCCATGTGGCAACCACCCTGTGTTCTTTCTCAAGGAACATCCCTGCAGAAGAGACCAAGTCCGACTCAAGCCCCAAAGACGAAGAGCACCCTCGGTTGTGAGAGAGCCCTGTTCCATAACTCCCACTTAAGTCCAACTAAAGTAGAGGATGAAAAGTGGGAGAAGGCCAAATCCCCCCTGTCTAACCTGGAGTCGATAGTGAAGCAGAAAACTCTCGAGACCACTGCACTTACTGGTGAGAACTACTGTAATTCTGTGGGATCCAAGAGGCCTGAGGTAGCCAGCGTGCAGAACAGGTGTCATGAGTCCACGTTGCAGCAGACCCTTACCACTGGTTCTTCCCTGTTCAGGGCCATAGAAGGACAGGTCATCAAGTCAGATAGAACCTCTCCACAAACGGACAACATAGCAGCTCTAAGCAGACCGGAGGTTTCTGTGCCCAAGGATAAGGGACGAGAGAAACAGGCAAAACAGACAGAAAATCTAGCATCTGATGGTAGACAAAAAATGAAATCTGGTACCCCTAGTAAAAGGAGTGCTCCCAGTGTTAAAGGAGAATGGAAGGAAAGGAAATTGGCTCAACGGTTAGAGAATGAGACGGCAAAAGAGGAGAAGGCATTAGAGAGGAAGCTTTCTTCTCATGTTAAGGTTGAAGGGATAGCCTTATCCCTCCTTCAGAGCCAGACCATAGAAGCAGAAGGAGAGGCAAAAATTAATGGAGCCAAAGAGGAGATACCATCCAAAGGAAAAGTATCCGCCACCAAACAGAAGAACCTGAAAAAGCCTGCCAAGGAGAAGACACCTTCTGAAGTGCAAAAAAAGGCTATGAGAGTTACTAAGAAGCAAAAAGATAAAGACAGTCAATCAGTCAAGCAAGGCCCCTCCCATAAAAAGGTAAGATTTATTTATTCTGGACAGTTGTGTAATATCGGCGTCAGTTGCATAAGCCATGACTGATTACATTAAAAATGTTCCTTAATTCAGTCTAAGGGTGGGAATATGACCAAAATCTGATATCACAACATGTGATTTTTGTCACAAGCAAAATATATGACAATATAATAATTTCCACTGGAAATTAAGCAAAGAAAAAATGATTTAAAACCATGTGATAATGTTTGCACAGTCCAGTCAATTGAATACTTGAAAAATAAAAGGTAATTTATTTCATTTGATTATTTTCTCTTTTATTTGGTACTTGATGGAAAAAGTGCAAAAGGTATAAGTGAGAAACGGATTCACATTAACTAACATTTGAGTTCAGTCTGATTGAGCTCTGATTGTTTGAGCCACATTCAACCATTCTGTATATATCATCATGCTGCTCAGCCCTCATGCAGTCTAATGTCAAGATAACTGTAAAGCAGAGATGCCCAAAACAGGGCCTGCTGGCCAAAGTTGACCCCTGATGACCTTTGAATTAGGCCTGCCATGTCATATCACAAGAGGAGGGAGAAATATATTATGTCTGCATTAGAATGTAGAGAATACAAGTGAATTGGATTTAAAGGAAGTAAATGTTAATATAATATAGTTGAATTAGGGCTGGATGATATGGCCAAAATTGAAATCACGATATATTTCTTAATTTCGGTCGATACAATATAATTCTGATATCGAAATTAACAATATAAAAAAAAGCCTCAGAAAAACTGAGCCCATAATGGATGTCTGTACCTACAAACTTCTGAAAAATTAATTTGCCAAGTCTATGAAACCTCCTATAAAACTATATAATATTTTTGAAATAAAAATGGCACAAATAAATTAATGTTCACCTTTTATTTGTATTTAGCCTTCATACAAACAAGAAATATGAAATCACCGTCAAATAAACATAAGACTCTCAGACTCACCTTATTAATATTAATATATTTAACTTTAAACTATAACATAGGCTGATTATTCTTATAGATTGAAACAAAAGTGCTCAGATTTGCTGCAGAAAACAGAAAAAAAGAGTGAGCAACAACAAAAACTTGATGCTGGAGACAGGCTTATTGAAAATGCAAATTCATTCTCTGCCAGCAGGAGGCGCTTTTGGCATGGCAGAAACAGCGGTTTCCCGGTAATGGCTGTAAACAAAGCAGAGCTTTTCATATCACCATTATTGAAAAAAATGATATCGATATATATATTGATATTGAATTATTGTCCAGCCCTGAGCTGAATATAAGGGAACATTTGCTTTTCGCCCATGATCCTCAGTTCAAGGCCCTCAATTTGGCCACCTCTGCTTTAACAGGCTATTCAAAATAAGCCTACATTAACAGAATCTTGTACCACAGACAATCATTTTGATTTTTCATTCAGTTTGCTCTAGAGTGGACAAGACATTGCTAGAGTGGACAAGACATTGCTAGAGGATTTTGAAGCAGAAATGGGAAGGTTGTCGTTTTGTTTAATTACAAGGATTTATATTATTCTGTTTTTAATCTGAGCTGACTAAATTATCCTTTTAGTGCTTGTGGAGTTATTTTTTTCTCTCCATGTAAACAGATGTATGGTCATAACTGCAAATTTTGCAAATTTAGTCATACTAGTTTAATGTTAACATAATGTCTAAAGTCTTGTGGTTATACTTTGTTTGAACTTGTGTGTTTTGACCTATACAATTCAGCTACATAACAGAACATTTTTTTGGAAATTCTGGAGGGAAATAAAAATAGTTAACATGCGATTATTGTGGGAGTAGCCTAGTGACGTGCGTTCTGCTGTGTAAATGAGCTGCGTGAGTCTAAGCCCTGTGAAAGCGCTTGGTGAGAAATGATGGCATTACCACTATGAGCTAGTGATGGGTTTATAGACAATTAGATTTTCCTGTGAAATTTTGCTTTGCTTAAATAGCCATGAATCTAAATTACAAATATGCATGTGTTATATTGAAAGACAAAATGTTCTGTTATAATTTTGTTCAACACATTTTATTGTACTTCATCAGAAGAAAGATGCGTTGCCTGGAGTTGGAAATAGTGTGCTGAAAGATGGAACAAGCTCAGCCCCTAAAGTAGGGGGAAAGACTCGCAAAGGGAAGAACTGTCCAGCTAATATGGAGCACTCCGACTCAAACAAAATAGGTACTGACCCAGCTTGTAGTTAAAGTAAAAGGTTGGTCATTTACTCATCCTCATGTCGTTCCATACCTATCTTGTGTATTAAAAGAAAATGATATTTTCATGCAGGTCTTTTTCTTACAACGATGGGTTAAAGTGACCCTGGTTGTTAATCTCCAAAAGTGGCAAAAAAAGGCCAAAAAAAAGAACGAAAAAAAGAAGACTCAGTGAGATGAACTCTAATTTTTGAATGAATCAGTTTGATACTTGAATGAATCGTTCAGTCCAATGTGTAATCTAAATTGCCAAGAACCAGCTCAAAAGAATTCATGCACTTATCCACTTCTCAAGTTCAGCTCGTTAACTCAATGATCGACTGCATAATTTTGGAATATAGCACACAACTAGCGTAGGATTTTGGTGGGTTTATTTTTGGGTGTCGTTTTTGGAGCTTAACAGCTGTGGTCACTGTAAACTTTTATGGAAAAGACCTGCATAAAAGATTCCACTACAGTATACCAAAATACAGGTTTGAAGTGACAAAGGAGTATGTAAATAATGACTGATTTTACATTATTTGGTTGAATTAATCCAAGGCTGTCCAAACTCGGTCCTGGAGGGCCGGTGTCCTGCAGAGTTTAGCTCCAACCCTAATTAAACGCACCTGAACCAGCTAATCAAACTCTTACTAGGCATAGGCTGTGTCCGAAATCGCCCCCTATACCCTTAAATAGGGCACTATTTGAGGGAACAGCCATTTTTAGTGGTGTCCCAAACCATAGTGGACGTTCTCGAGTGCACTCATTCAATCCCACAATGCACTGCAAAAATGAGTGTACAACTGGTGCACGCTCAACGGCTAGAGAATGCCCATAATGCACCGTGAGAGTCACGCGCCGAATGAATTCCCGCATCTCGCCAGAAGATGGCGCCCGCAGCTGAATAATCAATCCGTTCATTTTTACAAAGCGCTCATCCATGGCGTACAGCATAATGTACAACACGGGTATAAATTCATTGAGTTTGGACAGCCCTGAATTAATCTATTAACAATGTTTTTTCTTCTGTGTCATATTTAAGACAATGGAATGGTTTCCTAAATATCAGAGTATTTCTCATGGATAATTCTGAATTCTGTCACCAATCACAGATTTAGAGAACAGTCCATGCAGAAGTCCTCAGGTTGACAGAGATTCAAGCTCTCTCAGCAGTCCGAGCTGGCCTAGTAAGGAATCAGATTCCCAGGAGGAGGCCTCTCCGCGGCTGAGACGAGGGCGCAGACGGACTGATGAAGCGTTGCTCCGAGACTGGAGCTTCGCTACTCCACCTACTCCTCCCCCTCTCGATCCCCCCTCTACACCACCCCCTGTACCAGTCCGCCGGCCCCGCGGCAGGCCTCGAATCAATCCTCTGCCTGAGGAGGTGAATGCGGACAAGGATAGGCCCACTAAGCGTGGAGACACCTCTTCAATAAAGAAAAGGAAACGCTGCAAGAATCGTAAATATCAGAACGGGGAATACATCACAGAGAAAGATAAGGTGGCAGATGGAGAGGAGGAGAAGCTGGGCGTGGAAGACTGTGAGGCCACTAGTGAGTAAAGATGTCTGAGGCTTGATGAACATTTTGCTGAGAATGTCATTCTCTCTTTGCCTTTCCTGGTCTTGATATTTAGTCCGTGGGCTACAGTTGAGGGTAGCATAATTAAAATAAATGTTGAATGAATTTCCCATTGGGGAACAATATCTCACACAATTTAAACTTCCAAAAAACCTTCTAGTTACAATTATTAATACTGAAAATGATCCAGATCTGTGTAGTTTTTACTAAATTGGGAGTGTCCAATGTGGGCGTTACCAAAGGTCTGAAGGTCAAAGTGTGTCTGTGAAACACTTACCTCTTTGGGGGAAAAAATAGTCCTGTCCGAATAGGGCTTAGGTAGGCAAGTCTTATTTAGCAGAAGTTTGTTTTTGATTGAAAACAATTTATTTAATGGAGTTATATGTCCATCTATCTATGCTGTGTTAGGAATGATGTAATAAAGGTTGGTGTTGAAATGTCAGTCTATGCCATTGCAGATGAGAAGATGGGTGTGTACCCTTGTCTCAGTGCCACACTGACCGGCGAAGTGCCCAGTCCAGACATCAGTCCTAGGCGGACCCTGTTCACACGTTCGGGCTCGGCACGACCTCAAGAGAGTCCACCCGTCGCACAGCCTAACGACAAACCCTCAGGGAAGAGGAAGTTCAAAAGTAAACACTTATGTGACACTGACAACCAGAAAAAGGTTAGCTGAAGCATCTTTTCAAACTTTCAAGCATTTGAAACTAGAACACTTGAACTGAAAATTGTGATTTCTAGGGATTTTTCCCTCTTAAGCCGGGCTCACACTACAGGAGTTTTAAAATCCTAACCGATTATGAAATCTGGTTGCAGCACACACATAAGGAGAATCTTTGCAGATTATCTTCCCTCAAATCTTAAACATGCACACACTACAAGATTTTAACACCGTGGCGCATCACACACTACAAGATATTATTAAGATTATCATGCCAGAGGGAGCGCCTCACGTGATCTCATGCAGCAGATCGTCATTGATATTTCAGTGATGTTTACATATGTTAGATAGCGTGCTAGCTGCTTTCTACACTCACCCGGTACATTCAAAACTGAGGTGATTTCACTCCAGCGCTTCTCTTTCTCCTTACGGTTGTGATACATTTTCAACACATTATACAGACAGTCGTGTTACTATAAAACGTCAAGAAGCAGTTTCCTCCGTCTCCACTATCCAACGGGGCCGTACAGCAGCTGTTTTGCGGTTGCGCATTGGCTATTGTGAAAGTACTGACGTAATCATATAGCCGTCATCATCCCGATTTAAATCCTAAATATCAAACATGTTTGATGTGATCGGGGCGGCCCCGATTTGTGTGCGAGCAGATCGGGAGGTGCAAGATTTGATCGGTGAACGCCTCACATTACCAGATAATCCACACCGAACATCGGGACTGATCGAGGGGCTCGACAAGATTTTTGCTCCGATTCTCGGGACGGGGAAATCGGGGCTAAATCAAGCTAAAAATCCTATAGTGTGAGCCAGGCTTTAAAGCTATACATCTTTTCAATTAGTCTTATGCTGCCCCCTAGTGGCATTTAGAGTCACCGTAAACCACTTTCTTAAAACAGCTGTTTTTATTAGGCGGGACCATGTAACAGTTGCCCTGCCCTCAATCTCACATCCCTCATGCACGACTCTCTTTGTCTTTATGTCTTTGTTTCAGCTCAAGACTAAAAAAGGCAGCTTGGGTAAACGCACAGGGCTCCTCATGTCAGGTGAGGATGGTCCAGCCACCAAGAAAACCCCAACTACTCCTTATGATTTTCCCAAGCATTCAAACTCACCACTGTCTGGTAAAAAAGGAACAGCCGGGAAATCAGGAATCCCTGAATCTACTCCAAGCCGTCCAGTGCCTCCAGAAGTCCGTCGACTGATTGTCAATAAGAATGCAGGAGAGACGCTGTTACAGAGAGCTGCTAGATTAGGTTACCAGGTAAAGCATTCATAGCCCTTTTGTTTGCTAGCTGACTTTGTAATGTTAATTATAAAAAAAAAAAATAATAATTATAAATATTTTTTGTAATAAAAGAAAAAAAAAATCATGTTTTATTATTATTATTTTTACATTTTTGTAGGATTTAATTAGTTAATAGCTTTTCATCAGTTCGCAAACCCCTTGTACTTCCCTTGCAAACCCCAGTTTAGGAATTTGTAAATAATTTGATTAATATACTTAAAGGGTTAGTTCACCCAAAAATGAAAATTCTGTCATTAATTACTCACCCTCATGTCGTTCTAAACCCGTAAGACCTCTGTTCATCTTCGGAACACAAATTAAGATATTTTTGATTAATTCTGATGGCTCTCAGACCCTCCCATAGACAGCAATGTAATTACCACGATCAAGGTCCAGAAACATAGCAAGGAGATCGGTAAAATAATCCATGTGACATCAGGGGTTCAACCGTAATTTTACGAAGCTACGAGAATACTGTTTGTATGCAAAGGAAACAAAAATAACGACTTTATTCAACAATTCGTCTCCTCCCTGGTGCCATTTTGGAGAGTATCCACTGAATGTAAACAGCGTATGCTATTCAGTGTCAGCTGCGTTACGCGGATATGTTTTCTACGTTGTTTACGCTTTGATTTGAACGAAAACATCTGCTGATGTTGGTGTAACTGACTGTTTGATCAATTGCTCAAATTACATATATAAATGTTTATTTCCAGGATGTAGTTTTATATTGCTTGGAAAAGGATGTAAGAGAGGTGAACCGTCGTGACAACGCGGGTTACACGGCACTACATGAGGCCTGTGCACGTGGCTGGACGCACATCGTACAGGTGCTGCTGAAACATGGAGCAGATGTTAACTGCAGTGCACAGGATGGAACACGGTGAGCAGCGGGTTACACTGAGGATATGATATAGACAGAATCAACGGTTCATTTATTACTTGAAGTTTTGTTCATCCCCATAGACAGCTTTGGGCTACTGCTTTTTAAATTGTGTAATGACATAATGACAATTTTATGGTAGGTAGCTAATGGGCCACATTAGATTTGGGAGATGTATTTTTAGTATCAGAATCTGTACAAAATAAGATCACGTATGTCCACCCACAGCTACAATGTGTCCAACAAAATATGTCCAATTACCAAAACTGAAACTATTCTTCCTCCTACCATTTCCTGTAAGAGTTTTTGCCTTTTTCATCATTGCAACCCATCTACAGTAACAATAAGCTCAACTTTAGATGGAGAATTTTCAGTATACTAACTTGTGTTTCTAACTTTGCAGCCCAATTCATGATGCAGTAGCATCTGATAATCTGGCTGCCGTCTGGATGCTGTTAAATCATGGGGCAGATCCCACACTGGCAACCTACTCTGGTCAGTCTGCAATTAAACTAGCCCAGAGTCCCGGGATGAAAACTTTCCTCAAAGGTAAAACAACTACATTTTCAAAATCTTGCATACATGTTTGCTAAACTTTAATGTTTATTTGCAGAATGGTCACCAAAAGCAACCTGATACATTATTTAGATTAAAATGGTCTTTGTGTTTGTTTATCCAGAGTATTTCACTGATTTAGAGGGACGAACAGACCAAGATCCTAGTCTTCAGTGGGATTTCTACAGTAGCTCTGTATTTGGTAAGAAATAGAAGGTTTATTGACTATCATTCAGAAGTATGGTTTCAGTAAGGTGTTTTTCTTTTCTTATTTTTGATAAATGTATACAATTGATCAAAAGTGACTTTTACATTGTTATTAAAATTTGATTTTAAAAAACAGTAAATGTTCTTTTGAACATTTGTTTCTCAAATAATCCTGATAAAGTATTACAGTTTCCTCAAAAATAAGATTTTAAATATGAAACAATAATTTAAAATTGTATTAACATTTCACAAAATTACGTTTTAATGTATTTTTGATCAAATAAATGTAGCCTTGGTGAGGTCTTACCGACCTTTGAACAGTAATGTAAGTGGGGTTAAAAAGACCACCAGTGAAAATGCTTATATTTTTGTCATTAAATATTTTCTCATTACACATAACTGTCAGCATATCAATTTGAGAAAAAAGTTTATTAGAAAAAGCAACATGAATGTTGTTCAGTATTTGCTTTAACATGTACTTAAGATGACTCCACAAGTGCAAAACCTGATGATCATGTTCTCCAGCATGGTTTGAGAAATCTTTTTTTGAGAGATCTTTCTTCAGTGGAAACAGAAATATATGATCCTTTCTGTGACATGGTCAGTGTCTGAAATTATTTGATTAGTGTAAAAGTGCAGAATATTCAATATTTATTTTTCATAAAAATTACTGGTAATGTTCATATTCATAACATTTCTTTAAAAACCTTTTTATTCCCAGGTTTAAATTAGATTTTGAATCCCAGATATTAAATATATTGTCAGACTTTTGGACCCTGCTGCCTTTAATTTTTTTTAATCATCTTTCTTCCAAATCCGGAATATGAACGCAATGCACAAAGTCTCTCGCTAAGCGTTTTCCTCCTGTAGAAAAACATAAACACTTAACATGGCGTAATGTATTAAGATGCTATTAAAATATCAAATCAAATATACAATTTATTAATATAATGAATATGTATATAGTATTTTCATCCCATACTGCAAAACGTGGCATAATGTGGCATAATGGACTAAAAAGGCCAAACTCAATATGCTCCTCTACATTATTAATATACATAACTAATATGTACAGGCAAACAGGTGAGCCGTCTGAGAGTGCAAGTGCAAGGCTGCAGCTAGACCCTCTTGAAGCTTCCCCTAATTCATGCTGAAAGTGATCCAAATATTAGGTGACAAAGCTGCCCACTAGAGGGTAGCAGAAGCGCTATAAACACTGTGGTGAGGTCTTGTAACTAGAGGTTGATATTTGCTTTTGTCTTTATTTGTTTTAAACTTTTACAGAGACAGAACAGGAACCTTGCTGGGACTTCCTGTTGTCTCAGGCCGAGGAAGAAGGCGAGGACAATTTGAGTGAGCAGGTGAAGGAGAGAGACACCGATACAGACTGTCTTCTGTTTGAGTTCTCCTCCGAGCCGCTCCTACCCTGCTACCATGTCCAAGTATCACTAATGCAGGGGTAAGTGACAGTGGAAGCACTTTAAAATACGGTCACCATGCACCTAACTAACTCTCTGCTCTAACCTCTCCACAGGTTTTGTAACTGGTTCTTGCTGGCAGACGTGCTGAAGCGGCTAAAGATGTCAGCGCGTATTTTCCGGGCTCGGTACCCTCAGTTTGAGGTGGCGAGCATCGCTCAGGCAGAGCTGTGGAAGCAGATCTCTGTCAGTCAAACCTGCATCGCTCCAGATGAGCTCCAACCAGACGATGAAGACAGGGAGGAGAAGGTGGAGCTGGTGCGCTGTGTACCAGAGTTACAGGGACTGCTAGGCTCCTCCATACAGCTCCTCCAAGAAGACAAGGATGACAAGTCAGGGCCCAATGCCAGACCTTGCAGTCGATAGTGACTCCTGCCCTACATCTCCTGCTCTGCAGCCATGGAGCAGCGAGGTGCCGTCCACAGTCGTGCACGGGTCCTTGCCATTGCATCCGATGGCCTGTTACTAGTACCAGCACTTTGTATGTTCAGAATCAGCCAGAAAGGTCCTATATCCTCACAGACACTCTTCTCACAGACCCCCTGAGTAATGAAAGGGGCCCTAGGGAGCGACTTTGCCATGCCTTTAGCCCAGGGAGAAAGGCTGGGGACGGACTCCACTGGGGAGCAACTTTCAGGTTCCTTCTGTAGGGTTTTGTTTTTTCACTCTTCAATAATTCTTTTTTTTAATTTTTTTTTATAAACCTATAAGTAAATATATATGTATATCTTGACATCAGGGTGAACGCATCTGGTTGTAACTTATCCTTAACATGTTTTATGTTTGTTCGTTATTGACGGTCCTTTAGAAGAAGTGGTAATCCAAGTCTTTTTTTATCTTGGTAAACTAAATGTGTGTAGCTAAGAGGCTTACGTCAAGCTAACAGTGGCAGGAATGCCTTTGGGCCAGATGGTTCCTGTGTAAACCATCGAGCCTCTGTCAGATCCCAGAAGCCCCCTAACCTACAGCATATGTTCCTCACCCCGGCCCTCCTTTCCTCCGCACCACTGCGGCTCTGCCAGAAACATTACACCTTCCCTTTATTTAATTTGTATCGTAGCATGCACGGGATGTGTTCCTGTGGCATCTGACGTTGCTTCGTTTTTGCTTTGGTTGATGAGCTGTTGGTTTTATCCACTGGTAGAATTTTTAAGATATTAGGAGGTATCGGCCGATATCAACCATTTAAGTGGTAAACAAAAAACAACAAGCCTGTGGAGTGTTTTTTTTTTTTTAAGGTTTTTCTAGGGCCATTTTTCTAGATTTCGTCTTGAACTGCTTTCCAGTGCTCAAGGAGAAGGGGTCGTCTCCCAGTTTTTCCTGGTGTACCAGATTTCAGCGTGCTTTGTGGCGCGTGGTGTGTTTTATTTACACTGATTGTTGTTTGTGCTTAATTTAATAGTTATTAATATATTTGACCTTTTTTGTGTGTATCAGAAAATGATGTATGAAAATTGCTTTGTATCGGTTGGTGCTTTATTTGACAATGTACATATAATGATCCCTTTATCCTGAGGTTGTTTTGTTTTCCCACAATGCGAACAGTATTTTAACAGGCTAAAGTACAGTTTTATTGTACTGGTGCTAAGCTAGATTTTGTGTTGACAATCAATGAAGTTTTGTTTGAACTGAAACCAATAAATATTTAAATGAAGAGAGAGATGTAAAGATAGAGTTTAGTTTCACTACTTACGGAAATACAGCGAGACATGAAGAAAGTATTTGGTTTTGACTGAAGAAGGCATATTGCTTCAGTGATCTCTTTTCAAAGAGCAGAGCTGTTTATTTGATTCTTTTTAAAAGAAATCAACCAGAATAAAGCATGATTGTCAAGTGTTGTTTGTGATCTGCAGTGTGTTTGTAGCATTGGTTGAGGTGAAATCTCCACACTTAGCCATAGACACTTAGATCTAATTTAACACCAGCCTCACGTGGTTTACTGCTTTTATATAAAGGTTTGCAAATGCAGTATGATCAAAGATGGCAATGTTCAATCAATTTAATTTATTATTAATAAAAATCGCAAGGGATATTCATATTTTTACAGTTGCAAGCAAGTCAAATTCTATCATAATGCACTAATTTAAATAATTTCTACAGATTTGATCCACACTACACTTCACTAACAATTAAAAGGTCATTTAGGAATTTTGGATGATAAAAGATCAATATAAACGTCATCATTCTGTTTTTATATTAAAAAGTGCAATCTGAAACAGCGCAGTCCATAGTCATGTGCTGGAGAAACCCTCAAGGGGGCACTAAATACTAACCATACTTTTATCTGCTAATGATCTGAGAAGGTAATCAAATTGAACATTTTCAGCTAAAGTAGATTAATTAAATTTTAATAATTTTGCTCATTAAATGATATGAAATAAGCAATATATTTGCACTTTTCAACGTAATATAGACCAACACTACCATTCATAAGTTTGGGATTGGTAAGATTTTTTAAAGAAAGAAATTATCACTCATTGAGCAAGGATGCATTAAATTCATTAAAAGGGATAATAAAGACATTAATAATTTTTCAAATGATTTATATTTTAAATATGTTCTTTTGTTTGAACTTTCTATTCATCAAAGTATCCTAAAAACTATCACGGTTTTCACAAAGATATTAAGCAGCACAATTGTTTTCAACATTGATAGTAAAATTAAACCTATTATAGAATTAATAAATATTAAACTATTTCTTGAGCATCAAGTCAGCATATTTAGAGTGATTTCTGAAGAATCATGTGACACTGAAGACTGGCTGATGGAAAAAAAAAAAAAGCTTTGCCATTACAGGAATAAATAAAATGTTCACAATATTACAGTTTTGCTGTATTTTTTGTTCAAATAAATGTAGGCCTGGTGACCACAAGAGACTTATTTCAAAAACAAAGAAACAAAATTCTTATCGAACCACACATCTGAACAGTAGTTTGGTTAGTTGTATCACTAAGAAAGATGCCTACACATCCAATTCAAGGGTTTGGAGGGCAGTTCACAACGGTAAAAGGTCAGCCAAAGTAGGTGATGCAGTTTTTTTGGAGGAAGGGACAATCAATTTGTTGAGAAACTAGTGCACTGTAGTGCTCATGGGAAAAGAGACGAGACAGAATTTAGAAATGAGAGTTGTCTGCGTAGACAAAGGCCTCAGGAGACCTCGCGTTATGCTGAGGAACAAGTCAGATAATTCCTGAGTCAGCCTTCTTCTGCAACAGGGACACATGCCTTACTGTTATAAAGTAATAAAAATGTCATTACACAATAAAACAGTCCTGTAATTTACCTCTCTTACGCTACCAACGACGGTAGTTATGTGAGCAGAGAATGTCCAAATGAATCACGTAAGAGAATTAATCCACGTGTTTCCTTTCATTTCAAGTCAATACCCCTAGCTTTTTCACCCACGTATATCTCAACACATGAGTCAGTTAGTTTGGAATGGCTAGTCAGTCCTTCTTAGTCCTTCCACAGCTAGAAAATGCAAGATAATATGCATAACTCGACTCAGTACTCTCAATAGTTAGCCGCTGGTTCGTTTGGTTGCCTGGTACTGAATTGAAGCAGTGGAATGGAAGAGAATGCTGAGTGGCTAGAGGCCATTTATATGCAAAAGAGTGAATAGAAATCGCAGCACGGTACAGCAGTGAGGTGAGACAGAGTCAAGAGAAAGATGAGTTAAGGATGGCGCTGGGGACAGTCTGAAACCAAAGGCAAGATGCTTCAGTTAACACCTCGACTATAGCTCTGCATCTGCGCCATGGAAACATTCAGTCAGTCAGTCAGTCAAGCACAGGACGAACATAGTGCTCTGAAATCTTTAACTTGCAAAGATACAATGTTATTTTAGCATTATTCATATGATTATATTTTTTTTATAGTAGCGTTTTATGTTTAGGCTAAGTAAGTTCTTAAAGTTTTAAGTCTAAAATTTATATTTTATTTTAGATTTATGTCAATTACTGAAATGATTTTGAATAGTTTTCGTTAACAAAAATCAACACTTGTACAAGGGAACTTTCTTTAATAATCTAGCATGCAAACATTCAGGGATTGATTTACAAAGCAAAGCAAACTAACTGAAGGTTACTCCGGTTCACTTGTGTCACTACGTTCGTTATTTTAAAACAGACGACTACTATGAAGATTTAGGTTTTTACAGAAAACTTTATTGTTTCAAACCTCGGCTTGTGGATTAAGTGTGTTAGAATTACCCAAAATGACCAGTCATTACTTTTTCCTCTAACACCATGAAAATTCCAGTTGCATCATATACTGTATGTGGACTCAGGTTTCAGAGCCACTCCTTCACCAAACCCACAAGAACTGCTACCTGCCATTGGTTGGCCCCTTTGGAGCTAAACCATGATTGGTTTAAATCTAGGGCACGTCTAGACAAGGCATACTGACAGTTAAATATCCATGTGCAACCATATGGGAGTAACTGCAGTGTTAAAAATAATACAACAAAAGAGAAAAGCCTTTTTTTCAAATACAGTATTATTTATTAAAATAATGCACATGTTTTGACTATCTTTATTAGATAACTCTGCTGGACAAAGTCTTTGCAGAGTTGCTCACCAGATAAACCTTGAAACATGTGACCAACACAACAGTCTAAAAGTCACTTGATTACATTAGAGGTTTAAAGGGTTAAATCTAATTGTCACCCTCCTTTCTTAAATATCTGCGTTCAGGGGGGGCAACAAGTTTTCGTCTTTGTTCAAACTGACATTATGTAAGAGTTCTTCCACAATGGGGCGGTCCTGCCAGTTTTACTTCTCTCAAACAGCACTGGGGAACTTCCTTTTTAGCATTCTTTTGAACACTCTTTTATGGAGACACAGAGACTGTTAGAAATGCCAGACAACCTGAGCGGGCGCTGCTTACATGTTAATTAAGATACCATTCTCCTTGTCCTACTTAACCCAGATTTGGTTTACAGTTTTTCAAAATGAGATATATTCACTTAAGAACATTCTGTTCTTATGCATCTGTGAAAACAGATGTTTGTTGCACTGACCTTGCATTAGTTTAACTCTCCAGGCATGCTGAGTAATGACAGAGCAGAACCGGTGATCGGTGCCGCTAATTCTATTCTTTCTAATTATTTATAGCCTGGCTAGCATGGCTCGATAATCTGTTGCTATACTGGAAGTACTCATGTCTGCCAGGGACAAATATTCTTGGATGTTAAGTATAGAACGTCTTTTAGCCATCACAGCATGTGGCCCTTGTGAACCTAGATCACTGACAGATCACACACCATTGTGTGACTATGTGCAAACTTTCACACTGCCAGTGCATGAAGTGTGTTGCAATATACAGGTGTTGTCTTAATTATATGGGCATTTTTGGTACTGTGGACTTTGTGGAGTTTGTCTACAAACAATATCCGACAGTTTATCCACATGCATCATGGAGGAATTCTGACATTTTTTATGTCATGAACATTGAGCACATTTACATGCACACCAGTAAGCTGAACTCACAAATATCAGCTTATTAAAATAACCAGTTTTCCCCGATTACATGCACATCAGTGTCACGTTGCACACACGAGGGGACGCTGGAGAATATGTTGACAAGACTTTATTTGCACCAAGGAACCAAGGGAGACGAACACAGGAAGACGTTCACGAAGACGTTCACGAAGACGTTCAACAGCGGACAGAGAACTTGGGACTGGGAACACATTTTATACACACACACACAGGAGGAGGGGATGACGAGACACACCTGGGAGCCATAGAACCAAGGGAAACACCTGGGACAAATGAAATAAACTAATCAGGACAGGAACAGGAAACTAACCAAATAAGGGCATGGGAAGGCACATGGGGAGCAGGACACACACAAAACATGGAACAGAGTCTGACAATCAGTAACCTGACAACGCAAGTAAGCTGCGTTTACATGAATTTATTTCATTTATTAATAAATCAGGTTATTTCCCTTTAGTGACGTCAAAATATAATCATTTGCGTATCTGACTCAGAGTATTCCATATGTTGTCGGTTGTGATGTTAAATAAAGCTTGCAACATGTCAGCGCGAAACAGGGGCGCTGCTAGCAATTTTGGGCCCTATGAAAGAATATGAGGTTGGGCCCCCTACCGCACCAAACATACACTACATTGCCCAAAGTATTGGGAAAACTCAATAAAACTCAAAAAAAAAAAAAAATCATCGCCAAACACCAATGACTTGTACATAATATGCGTACAATCATTTTAGACACTTTGAAAACTGTTGCAACAAAGATGGAAATACAATTTTTAAATACATGAATTATGTTTCCATCTCTGATGCCAGAGTTTTGGAAGTGCCTTTTTCTGTTCTAAAGAAGGGGTGTCCCAATACATCTGCCCATATGTCATTGGTGTTTGGTGATGAGTTTTTGGCTCAAGGTCTGCATTCTTTTTTTTTTTTTTACTAAAAATGAGAAATTACTAAAGTAGACAAACCTGTTCATTAGAAGGGGGTGTCCCAATACTTTTGGCAATATAGTGTACAAGCCAGCCTAGCTATTCAAAATCTTTGTCTGCAATTTAATAATATTGACCTATTACGTACTTTTGCTATTGCTTTTGACCATTGGGTATCAGTAACATAATTCATTCAGAACCTGTTTTATGGACATAGACTTTCTGAACCACACTATTCTGCTGATATGGAATGAGTTTGACTACTTAATCAGTTATATTAATAGAAATGCTTCACTGGGGCAAAAAAAAAATCCTAAAATAATAAATAGGATACCCCATAGCAGCATTTCCAGCAGTATCCAACATTTCTCAATCATGATCTTACTCAGCTAAATGTGACTATTAGCTTAACAGCTGTATTCCTTGTTTGCTAGCTACCTATGCACATACAGCATACAATGTTAAAAATGT